TCCAAAGACCTTGAGCTTCGCGTCGTAGAGGAGCATGCCTGCGTATGCGGGCAATGCGAGCCGCCCTCCTCTTGCTGGCGGTCAACCTCATTCTGGCCTTAGTGACTGTGCGCCGTTTGCCAGATGCCGCATCAATGCCAAGATCCGTGCCGTGAAGGCCGAACCGTACAGGGACACCTCGCTTCTGCAAATGAGCGGTTGTCCTCCTCCCGTCCTGCGGAACAGTGGCAATGAGTACAGACTTGTCCGAAAGCTTAAGACGGAAGTGCTTGGCGAGGTCGGCAAGGGTGACCGTGGCGTGAAGGATCTCTGTTTGGACCTTGGCCTGCGTGCCCTCTGCGCGGGCAACCGTGTCGTCGATGAATGTCCAGAAGGTGCTGAAACTCGCTCTGCGATGTGCCGCCTCCATCAATGGATGTAAAAACAACTTGGCAATCCTTACCCCATGCGGGGATCCTGCAACGAGTGATCCTGGTGGCGTAGATGGCGTCTGAAACGCCAAGAGAGCCACGCAAGAACCGCGGCCCAGCACACATCTCCAGCTCCAGTAGCACCACAATCGCTGGGAACTTGAGATCGAGTGCAGCCTGGCCGATGAGGATCCAGGATAACGAGTCGTAGAACTTCTCGAAGTCCAGGAGTAGGGTCGCCGCCGAGATGCCAAGCGCCACTGCGGATTCATCGGGCAGCGCTCGCAAGAGACCTGCTCGAAGCGAGCTGCTGCCCGCCACTGCAGTGCCCCAGAAATCAGAGAGCTCCTTAGTCCATGTGGACGTGACGCCTGCTCTCGCGCGGGACCAAATCTTCGCCGTCTCTGGAAGTAATCCAATGACCCTCTCTCCTCCTTTGGGTTTGGGTAATAATGCTCCAATAGATGCCAAGATCTGAGCAGGCCAAACTCCATGTTCTTCAATGCTGTTGAGAAGCCTGCAGTAATCACACCGACCTTCGAGTGGAAGTCGCTGGATGTCCAGAGGTGTGATGGAGTCAACTCCGCATGCCTTGGTGCCTAAAACCTTGATAACATTGTCCACCTGCTCGATGCTGACGGGGTCCAGCTCCTCCTCGCGGCTCTGCGCGTGCAGGCGCTTGAACATGGCGAGGATGTCGGCCTGAGAGTCGACTGGGTCGTGCCAGAGTCTCTCCCAGGTGGATCTGGTGTATTCCATTCTGACAGTTGGGTCTCCAACGACTCGCCCATCCACTAAGGGGTCGGCAGAGACCGCCTTGGGTTCCTTCACCAATGAGTGGAGCAGGCCGGGCTTAGATGTCCCAACTCCCTTGGCCCAGCGGATGAACGAATGCCGCCTCAAGGTCAAGCATCTTGCCTGAGAACGACAGGCCAGCTTCTCAGTTAAGTAGGCAAAACCGTCGCGCTCCATCTCAGTGGCGCTCGCAAATGCGCGCGACCAAGAAATCCACCGCTGCTGATTCGCGGAGCCCTCAGAGCCTGGACCAAAGAAATCAGATGGGTCGAAGCTGCTAGCGTCGTTGGTGTAGCGACCAAGAGCTGCGGTACAAATAGCTATCTGGCGAGGATCCTTGCCATGTCGTAGAAGAGCCATGATTCTTTGAACCAAGGTAAGAACAGTTCCCCACCATTCTCCAGCTCCATCAGTCATGTGCACTCGCCCTGGGGTAGCTTTGGTCTGCATCCATCGTAAAGAAAATCCAGCTGCGCGTGGAGCCCGCTGTCGAAGGTTGAGCTGATGATGAAGTGCGAACGCACGTTCCACTCCTGAGGACCACCGCGCGTACTGCCTGGTGACGGCACCAAGGCCAAGTGCGTTGATATGGCCCAACAACTCAGACTCGACCACGCTGCAACATTGAGAGCTGAGCCTCTCCTTGGAGGGCTGCTCTTCCCACAGGTCTGAAGGTATGTGAAAAGAGACCTGGGACTCAGGATCCAAAGTACTCCTTGACGGGTGTCGTGCGTCGTAGTCTTCCAGCAGATCGGGTGGTACGCGTGCCCGTTCTTGCTCTTGCCGTTGGGCTCGAAGTATAGACCTCTTGCTGCTGGGGTCCGAAGCGAGCTTGGGTCTGGCTACCTTTGGAAACGGTTCAGGTAACAAAAGTTTCTGGTACCACCATCTGCGCATGCCATCGTGGACGTCAACCTGCAGTGCACAGTGCGTCTTCCACGGGACCTGAGGCTGCGACCGAACTCGGTATCTGGAAGATGTTCCGTTCTTGGCCATTGCGAAATCAATGAGAGAGCCCTCCTGCCCTTTGTCGCACGTGGTGCTGACGTCAGCGGGTAAACTGAGTGTGCCCCCAATTTTTTCAGGCCAGCCAGATCCTTCCAAGGAAGTTGGTGAAATATTCCAGTCACCGATAACCAACCAAGGGTCTGCAAGCCCATGAAGGAAGGAGGCTAACGCAATCAGCACTTGGCGATTTCTGCCAGAAACTCCCAATCCTGGCCAAAGATAAACTGATACCAAGACCAGGTTGCCCGAGGACAAGTGCAAGATCATGGCGGCGAGCCCGCGCATAGGATCAGGTTGGCGTGCAGCTTGTGCATATTGCCGAATGGCCTGTAGCGAGGTGGTGGCCAGATGCTTCTTGGCCATGGCCCATTCACCGCCAGAAGAGCCTCCCCGTCCTGTTGGTGTGCTCCCTGTGGCGCAGACCTTCCAACCGTCTTTGTCCAGTTCGATCTCCGTCTTGGAGTGGAACGTGGCGGCGGTGACATGAGTCTCCACCAGACAAAACACAGAGTAAGGGGCTGTGTTGACATAACGCTGCGCTTGAGGCCCCCACTCAGTGATGTTACCGTAAAGGATCGAGAAATCTTTCTCGTCGGATGTGAGCTTGGAGGGGGCTGGAGCGGCCAAAGCCTGCGCTGCTGGTGCGCTGAGGTCAGCCTCAAGGCAAGTAGGGCCGCTGCTGGAGGCAGCCTGGTCCGCCCTAGCCTCAGAAGGCCTGGCGGCGACGCCAGGTGGCGAGGGGCCAACCTCCGCCCCGAACGGCGAGTCCTGGTGGAAACGCTCGTTGACCTCCTCCCGCTCCAGCTCCTCGAACGGATCCAGCTCGGCGTCGTACAGGTGCGCCGTCGTACAGGAAGGGACAGAGGCCTGCGGTCCCGTAGATGCGCGAGGCGCAGCCCTCGGGGGAGGGCTGTCATTAAGGGCAGCATACGCCAGCCCGCCAAGCGCACCCGTCAGCGAGGCTTGACCCGATGCGCCCGAAGAAGTGCGAGTAGCCGAAATCCTCGCACTCGGGGATGGCGTAGCTCCGCGCGACGCAGAACGCGACGAACGTCTCGCCTGCGGTGCCCGTGACGCCGAGCAAGGCGCCGCAGTCGGCGAACTGCTCACCTCCAACGGTGCTGTAGTTGTCTCGCTTCCAAAAGCGCGCTCCTCATCCGAGTCGAGGAAGAACTCGACTGGGTAGGGCCAGGGGCGCCCGCCGTAACAACATGCCGACAAAACTCGGCGCGGCGCCCCTCTATCTGCGTTAGGCTGTGGACGGAGCCCCTGATGCTGCAGGGGAGGGGGCGGTGCCAGGAGCGCTAGGAGCGGCCTCTGCGGAGGAGGAAGCGGCCTCCTGCTGAGCGTAGAGCTCATCCTGGGCCGACTTGGCCTTGGCTCTGGCAGCAGCGCGCATGGCCTCGGCCCCAGCTGGAGCACCTGCTGCCGCAGCGGCGCCAGCAGGCCCAGCCCCGTCAGTTGCAGCAGCAGCAGCGGGGCCAGCAGCAAAGCCAGCCGCATCGCTGCCGTCCACGCGCCTGCGCTTGGCCTCCTCCCTGGCGCGCAGCTTTCGAGCCTCCTCACGAAGCTCCAGGATGCGCTGCGCCGAGGGTCCGAGGACTTCCTGGACCTTGGTTTGGACGCTGTCGGCCAGCTCCTGCTTGATGCGCTCCCAGTCCACGCGCGCCTGCTCGTCGAGCTCCAGGCCAGAGAGGTCGAACAGCGGCCCGTCCACGATCTGAAGCGAGCCCTCGTCGATGAGCGTCGAAAGGTTGATCGCCGAAGAAGAGGGTGGCGCCGTTGACGGCGGCGCCGCTTTGGCCTTGACCTGCTTGGCGCAGGCCGCCTCCCAGTCCTGCTGCGCCGCATGAGCGCTGGCGGCCGCCTCGTCCTCTGCGGCCTGGGCGTCAGCAAGCCACTGCTTGCTCTCCAGGACGCGGGCCGAGCAGGTCTCAAGCCATGCCAGCGCCCTCCTGCAAGCCACGCCTTTGGCCCGCACTTCCTCAAGGAGTGGCGCCTTCTGCGGGGCACCCGCGCCTGCAGCAGCTGCCTGTGCCTCCTTCTTGGCCTGCACCGCCGCCTTGAGCTTGAGAAGCTCGTCGCAGTCCGAGCCAAGCTCCTTCTCGAAGAACTCGAAGGGGTCAGCGGCCTGGGCAGGCTGCTGCTGCTGCTGCTGCTGCTGCTGCCCCTCGCGGCCACCATGAGGCACCCAGCCCGCCTGCTGGTAGACCCATGGCCGACGCTGGACGGCCTGGGCCTTCGGCGCGGGCCGGGGCAAAGGTGGTCCCTTGGCGCCCTTGCCTCCTGCTTGAGCCCAGGGAGGAGCCGCAGGGGCCTCTGCCGCAGGCTCTGCCTCAGGAGGAGGCGTTGCGCCCGCCTGCGGTGGGCCCCAAACCCACTGGCCGCGGGGACGCTTGTCCTCCGATGGGCTCGGCACCATGGCGCCTCCGCACTGGTAGCACCAGTGGTTGTTCTTGAAGTTCCAGCGGAATCTGCAGGAAGTGCACGTGATGTACGTCGTCTTGGCCCCTGCCGCTGGAGCCGAGCGACCTCCGCCAAAACCATTCCTGCCGCCGCCCTTCTTGCCGCCGCCTCCCATGGCCGATGCGAGGAGGGCTGCTCTCCCAGTGAAGGGGGCAGGCGATGGACTGGGGCGGGGGGGGGGGAGAGAAGGAGGAAGGGGGGGGGGGGGAAGGGAGGGGGGGGGGAGGAATGAGAGGGGAGGAGGGGGTGGGTGGGGGGAGAAGGAGCGGGGGGAGTCCTCTGCAGCCCACCAGGGGCGCTCGAGAGCGTCCCCCCCCTCCCTCACGCGTTGTCCGCGCCGCCGCCATGCAACGGGCCTCCAGCCCGCGAGAGCCAGGGGAACCAAGAGGTCACCGAGGACCACAGTCCCAGGAGAGTTCGATGGCAACTCGTGGGAGCCTCCCATACCATCTTGTCGGCTCTTGCGAATCGACGCTGGTCGACGCTTCATCGACGCTGAATCGACGCTAGATCGGCGCTGTCTCATCGACCCCCAGACGCCGATCGACGCTCGTCGACGTCAAAAACGGAGTTGAGGGGATACGCCAGGCTCCCACACTTTGCTGCCGAAGGAGAGGCTGAGTCCAGACGCAGAAAGCCCAGTCGGGGACCCGACACTCCGTGCGGACTTCCTCCGCACGGACTGCGCCTCCTGATCCCGAGGCGAGCTCCCGACCAGGAAACCCGAGGCGACCCCAGCCGTGCAGACGAGGGCCCCGCCCCCCTCTCGGGAGGCCCCAGCTAGAGCGAGCGTCGAGGGGGGTGGCATCGGTCGTGGGGGAAGGGCTGCGCCCGAAGAGTCCCGAGGCTCTCCCCGGGTGCACGCTGTGCCGCCGCGCTCTGCAGCTGCACTGGCCCCGTGCACGCTCCGTCGGGCCTCGGGGGCGCGCCGGCCCGGGTCTCGGCGCTGGCCCTCTCCTCCTCCTCCTCCTCCTCCTCCTCCACACAATACTCCTCCGCCTCCCCTCCTCCTCCATCTCCTCATAGCACCTAATCCTCCGACATCCTCCTACTACCTCAATCCTCCGTCATCCTCGCTCCCTCCTCCTTTACCTCCCCAAACCCTCCTCACTCCTCCCATCATCCTCCTCATACTCATCATCCTTCCCATCTCCTCCTCCTCCTCCTCCTCCTCTTCCTTCTCCTACATCCTCCTCCTCCTCCTCCTCCTCCTCCTCCTCCTCCTCCTCCTCCTCCTCCTCCGGATCAGCCGGGGCCACGTCGCGAACCCAGGCCAGCCACGAAGGAGCTCCCACACCCGGGGGAGCGGACGGGCGGGAGGGCGGGTCGGCTCCAGCGGCTCCCAAGCCCAGGTCTGCCAAGAGGGATCGGAGGTGACTGGCTGACCCCCGTGCGCGCTGACCCCTCCTCTCTCTGCCGCTGCTCTAGGGGTCAGGTATCGGTGTGTTTGCCTCCCCTGAAGAGCCACCTGCTCACGCACAGGGGCCGCACAGCATTCGCGCGTTGGCGCGGGGGCGCAGCTTCCAGTGGACCTGCTCGCCCGCGCAGAGCGGGACGACCGTCCTGTCCCCGAAAGGGTACCTCCGGGCGGGAACGGGCATGTTGTTCTACCCCACGGCGCCGCAGAAGGAGAAGGATGGGTAGGAACCTTCAGAATTCTCTGGCAACACGCCGCGAGCTACATCATTTCTATCAGCGAGCGCAAAAACGAAGGAACACCCTATTGGTCCACGGGGGCTGAACCAAACCCAACGATGCGGTGCCACCCCGGGACTGGGGGCCGACCCCCCCAACTCGACATACAACCGCGCCGGTACAAATTTCACCACGCACGCAAAACTGGATTCACCGCGAAGGAAGAGACGGAGGAGGATGAGCTGGTGGAGGAAAACGGGGTAGCACGGGGAGGGAAAGCAGAACCAGTGACATGAGGATCCAACCCGATCGGACGATGCGGGCTCAATGTTTCCTAAATCTGAATCCCACCAGCCTTCCGGGCGTCGTGGGTTGAGCGAAATCTCTCTTCCAACCACCTCCTTCCCCTTCGAAGAAATGTCCCCCTCTCGACCTGCCGCCGTCCATGAACAATGCGGGCATCCCCCGTCATCCTTCATAACATGTGTTATGAAGTGCTGAGACGGCAAATCTTGACCGTAAGCGGCGCAATCACTGTGCATGTGTGTCTGACAAGGATGGCAAGGGGGGGATACCTGTCCGCTGCGCGCTGGCCCACCATCACTATCCACTGCACTTCAAGTTGATGGTGGGTGCGACATACGCAGTGGTGACCAACCCTCTACCACTTTGTAATGGCTTTGTCGGCAAAGTTGGAAATGACGACATGTTTCCCGATGGGTGCTGCCACTTCCACCAGCGCGCTCTGCGCGAGTCGCGCTCCCAGCGCAGTCGGCGCGGCAGGAACCCGTGCCACGCTTGACGCCCATGGATCACATGGCGCATCCGGCGTACCAGGCGCTCTTGGCACGCCTGGGCCCCTGGGGCACCTGGCGCCGAACATGGCACGCGTGGCGCGCCTCGCGACCGTCAAGCAACTGGTACAGATGGCCTCCGACATGACATACCATGTCTTCAGACGGTATAAGAAAACCTGCAACGTGCCTTCACGATGCCCCAAAACGGCTCCAAACCAACCCCAAATGGCCACTGAGGCTTCCAAGCACACCTTGGAGACGCCAAAATGACACTGACGAAGGACCCGACTATATGCAGCTGTGAGGCTGTGAATACCGTCGTTGAATGTACCGTATTCGGAGGAGCTCGCTAGGGTCATGAAGCGTGTGAGAGGTGTGGCGAAATTAGTGCGGTGGGCGCATGCGAACGCAGCCACTGGGGCCGTCGGTGGAGCTCCCTGTGGAGCCACGGAACGTGTAAGGGGTGTGCCAAAATGAATGCGGTGGGGGCATGCGAACGCATTCACTGGGTCAGTCGGCTGAAATCCCCGTGGGGCCATGAAACGTGTGAGGGGTGAGCCAAAATGGGTGCGGTGGGCGCGTGCGAATGCAGCCACTGGGGCCGCTTGTCGAGCTCCCCATGGGGCCACGAAGCGTGTGAGAGGTGTTCCAATATGGGTGCGGTGGGTGCATGCGAACGCAGCCACTGGGTCCGTCGGTTGAGCTCCCCATTGGGTCCACGACACGTTTCACTGGGATTGTCGAGACAGGGTGCGGTAGGCGCGGACGAACGCAGCCACTGGGGCCGTCGGTTGAGCTCCTTCTGGGGCCACGAAGCGTGTAAAGGGTGTGCTAAAATGGGTGCGGTGGGCGCATGCGAACGGTGGCATGTGGGCCAGCTCTGGAGTTCCCCGTGGGGCCCACGAAACGTGTGAAGGGTGTGCCTACATGGGTGCGGTGGGCACGTGCGAATGCAGCCACTGGGGCCGCTGGTTGAGCTCCCCATGGGGCCACGAGGCGTGTGCGGGGTGTTCCAATATGGGTTCGGTGGGTGCATGCGAGCGCGGCCACTGGGGCCGTCGGTTGAGCTCCCAGTGGGCCCACGAAACGTTTCAAGGGGATTGCCGAGCAAGGGTGCGGTGGGCGTGTGCGAACGCAGCCACTGGGGCCGACGGGTGAGCTCCCTTTGGGAACACGAAACGTTTGAGGGGTGTGCCACACTTGGTTCGGTGGGCGCATGCGAACGCAGCCACTGGGGCCGTCGGTGGAGTTCCCTATGGGGCCATGAAGCGTGTGAACGGTGTGCCGACATGGGTGCGGTGGGCGCATGCGAACGCAGCTACTGGGGCCGTTGGTAGAGCCCCCTTATGGGGCCACACATCGTGTGGGATGTGTGCCAACATGGGTGCGGTGGGCGCATGCGAACGGTGGCATTTTGGCCTTCTGTGGAGCTCCCCGTGGGGCCCAAGAAACGTGTGAAGGGTGTGCCTAAATGAGTGCGGTGGGCGCATGCGAACGCAACCACAAAGGCCGTGGGTGGACCTCCCCACGGGGCCATGAAGCGTGTGAACGTCGTACCAAAATGGGTGCGGCAGGCGCAAACGGGCGCAACCAGTGGGGCCGCCGGTTGAATTCACCATGAGGCCGCGCAACGTGTGAGGGTGTGCGAAAATGGGTGCGGTGGGCGCACGCGAACACAGCGTTTGGGGCCGCTAGTGGAGCTCCCCATGGGGCCACGAAGCGTGTTAGATGTGTGCCCATATGGGCGCGGGCGGTGGGCGCATACGAACGCTGCATTTGGGCCTTCGGTGGCGCTACCTATGGGGCCACGAAGCGTGTGAGAGGTATGCCAAAATGGGTGCGGTGGGCGCAGGCGAACGCAGCCTCTGGGGCCGACGGGTGAGCTGCCTATGGGGCCACGAGACGTGTGAAGGGTATACCAAAATGGGTGCGGTGGGCGCATGCGAACGCTGGCATGGGCCTTCGGTGGCGCGACCTATGGGGCCACTAAACGTGTGAGGGGTGCCCCAAATAAGGGTGCGGCCAGCGCATGCGGACGGGGGCAGTTTGGTTTCAACGTGTGAGGGATGCTCCAAAGTGGGTGCGGCGGGAGCATGCGAGAACAACCATTCGGGCCGTCGGTGGAGCCCCCAATGGGTCACGAAACGTGTGAGGGCGTGCCACCATGGGTGCGGTGAGCGCGTGCGAACGCGAAAGAGGCGGTTATCAGGAGCTAAAACAAGTTTACTCAGGAGTTAACCCAACGCAGCTCCCCATTATTCACTGCATAAATCGGGCCCCCCCAGGTTTCAAGGCTGACGAAATCAGCCAGTTTCATTTCCATGTCCGGGTCGGAATCCGCCACAGCGTCCCTGATGATAACGATGGGTCTCATCAGTGTGTGCGCAACAGCCTGCAATGTCAAAGCGTCGCCCCAGAGACCATGGGGATGGGTCTCCGCATCCAGGCGGAGACGGCGCACGAACTCATCGACACTGTGGAATCCAGACGGGCCCCATTGAAACCCCTTGAACACGGATGGGAAGTCCGCTATGTAGGTAGCCACCATTTGGCGAAACTCGATATGATCGATGTCGAGCTGGCCTGCTTGGCACAGCGCTCCGACCGCGCCACGTGCGCGGCGCACCGAGCGCGCGCTCCCGCCTGAGAGAACTACACATGCCACTGGGCCTTCGGTGGAGTTCCCTATGGGGCCACGAAGCGCGCGAAGGGTGCGCCGACATGTGCGGGTGGGACCCATGCGAACATCGCCGCTGGGGCCTTCGGTAAGACCATTTGCACGGCGTGCTCGTTCGACGTGATATACTCGTAGACTGACGGGACTGTGGAAATATCGTCCTGGACTGACGGGAGGCCCTTTGTCATAACGGCGGCGGCGGGAGCTGCCTTGTCGGCCGCCGTCCAGGCGCGGGTTCCCCATAATTCAACAATTCGGAAAAACGAATTATAGGAAACCGGGGACCGGGTGCTCGCGGCGTGGTCATGACGTTTCCCGAAATTCGAATTTCGAATTATGGGAAACCTGGATTCTCAAAAATTAGCCGAGTGAAAGGCCCAACCATATGCAGGTGTGAGTGCCGTCGCTGTATGCTCCGCATTCGGAGGAACTCCCTATAGGGCCACGAAGCGCATGAGAGGTGTGCCGAAATATGTCCACCGGGCGCAAGCGAAAGCAGCCACTGGGGCCGTCGGTGTAATTCCCTTGGGGCCACGAAGCGCGGGAGAGGTGTGCCAGAATAAGTGCGTTGGGCGCACGCGAACGCAACCATCGGGGCCGTCAGTGGAGCTCCCGACGGTACCGCGAAACGTGTGAGAAGTGTGCCGAAACGGACGTGCGTGACGCATGTGGGCGGTGGCACTGGGACCGTCGGTGGAGCTCCCTTTAGGGCCACGAAACGTGTGAGGAGTGTGCCGGCATGGGTGCGCGTGGCACTGGTGCCTTCGGTGGAGCCCCCTATGGGGGCCGCGCAAAACACAGATAAGCTTTTGCTGTGATTCCAAGTTCCCCATGATTCCGAATTCTGGGAAACCTGGAATCACCACAAGAAACAACATGCTTTTGAAGTGATTCTAGGTTTCACATGAATAAGAATCACGACAGAAGAATTGTTTCTGTGGTAATTCAAGGTTTTCCGTAATTCCGAAACGTGGGGTACTCGGGACGCCCCCCAAACAAATTGTACTGCGCGCTTCCAAGTTCCCCATAAGATGGGGGACCTGCGGCCACCACAACAAAACTATCTCGCTGTGATTTTCCAGGTTTCCCATACATGCGAATTGTGCGGAACCTGGGGCCGCAACCAACCAAAAGTGCGTGTCGGCGGTGGTTCCTTGTTTCCCATAGTTGCGAATTTTAAAAAGATGTGGTCACGACAACAAGAAAAACGTGTTCGTAGTGACTCCAATTTTCCATCGGTCAAATTTGATTCAAAATTATGGGGACCTGGTATCACAACAGTGGCGCGTCCAAGTTTCCCATAATTCCGAAGTGCGCTGCAACGAAAAAGTGGCGTCGCGGTGACATCATTCCGAAGTGTGGGAAATCTAAAACAACGAAACAAAAAGATTGTGTTTGTGTAGTGGTTCCATGTTTCCCTAAATTCCGTATTATGGGCAACCCAGGCATGCCAATGCCTCCTAAATGCTCTAAGACCCCCCCCCCCCACGCTGCCAAATCGTCATCGTCAACATCATAATTCATACAACCCTCACAATAATCATCATACTCATCATCATCATCATCGCCACCATCACCATCCTAAAGGTGGCAATTGCGTAAACGTGTTTACTCCAGAGTTAACCCTCTGACCGGAGATCCCGTTAAAGATGTCAACTCTGGAGATCACCCCTCTTGGAGGGTAGCGCAAACAGCATATATGTTTTTGTTGAAGAGAACGCTTGCAGACCCCGGCGAAGGAACTGACGAAACAAGAAAGCCCGCAAAGTGTGAGAAGCAATCGCTCTAGATCAGAGCTAGAGTGACGAGCGACTTGGGCCAGAAAGCCTGCAGGGCAAGAGAAACACGCACCCTGAACCAGCAAGCCTGCATCATGAAAAAACGCACCTCCTAAACCAGACAGGCCAGCAGAGCTGGAAAAATAAATCTCCAGAGCCAGAAATATTGCAAAACTAAGGCCGAAGGGATTCATAGCAAGAGAGCGCTCGTATTTGAAAAAGGGGCCGACGTAACCTGAGAGCCAGCAGCCCCAAACAAAACAACCGTCGGAGCAACAAAAATCTGAAGAGCGAGGAAAGGTGGCCCAATAATGGGGAGACTCAATAATCAGACAGCAGGGCGAGAGGGCGGCAAAACTAAAACTACAAGACCCAAGTATCCCCCCTGAGAAGCCTGACGAAAAGTCGTCCATAACGTGACAAGCTGTGGGACTGGATTGGAAAACGAGTCGATTGCAGAGAAGCCAGCGCAACTTCAGAAAGTAACCCCCGGCAACAGAAAACCCGAAGGGCAAATGAAAGGAGCGGCTGCGCCTCCGTAGATGGCCAGCCCGGGGGCGATAATGTTTCGAACGCGGGGCCCGGGAAGTGAAAAGAGCACGCGCCGCGGAATTAGAGAAGAGGCGAAATGGTGGCCACAGGGGCGCTTCAGATGCAGATAGGTTCAATCTGGAGTAAACCCTTTCCAATGGTGAGACACTGCAGGTTCAAGTTTACAAAAGTTTAATATGTATGTATATAAAACCTGTCTTAACTCGTGATTGCACACTTTTTCGTGCGAGCGCAACCTCTTGGGCCGCTAGTGGACCTCCCCACGGGGCCACGGAACGTGTGACGGGTGTGCCAGCAAATGTGTGCGGTGGGTGCATGCGCACGCAGCCTCTGGGGCCGTCGGCTGAGCTTTCCGTGGAGCCATGAAACGTGCGAGGGGTGTGCCACCATGGGTGCGGTGAGCGCGTGCGAGCGCAACCACTGGGGCCGCCAGCGGAGCTCCCCACGGGGCCACGAAGCGTGTGAGGGGTGTGCCAAAATGGGTGCGGTGGGCGCCGGCGAGCGCTGGCATTTGGGCTTTCGATGGCGCTACCTACGCATGCGGCCACGAAGCGTGTGAGGTGTGTGTGTGTGTGTGTGTGTGTTTGTGTGTGTGTGTGCCGAAACAGAGATATGCGGAGGGCAGAGGCAAGGATGGGGAGGGGGGAGGAGGGCGAGGAAGGGGAAGGAAGGACGCGGGGAGTTCTCTTCAAAACGAGGGCCCAACACCACAGGATGGGTGGGAACTACGGGCTGTTTATTGACTTGCGAAATTATTCTTGCCTTTTCGCTTCTGGCTGGCTTTCGAAGCCTCGGGATGGCACCGATACAGCCCAAGAGAGCACCAGAGTGGCCCAGACAGGCCTCCGAGAATGCCCCGGCGGCCCCCAGAAGCTAGAAAGGGTGTGCGAATCGTGCAAGGACTTCGTCGGCCCTCCTTCGCAACATGTTTTCAACAGGCGCGGCGCACAGCGCGCCAGGGGCACAGCTAGGCGACTCGGGCACGGGCCCGACTGCTCCTTCGCAACATGCCGATCTCTCTTGACGTGGGCCTGGAGCTTCTCTCGATCCGGCCTGGACTTAAGGACGCGCAAAAACCCCACGGAGGCCGTTTATCGAGTCTCGGGACGTGGGGTCGACAACCGGTTTCTCAGGCCCCCACTGTGCCCAGGGAGCTTTGGATGTGCGTCATGCTTCGAGGCCCCCCTAATCGGGTCCGAATAGATGCGGCCAGAGGATCGCGACGCATCTCCGACCCGTCGCCGATGCATCAGCGACGTCGGCGAGGCATCGGCGCTGTCGGCCTGGAGAAGATGGGGCTCCACATCGGACTGTACCGCCGATGCATCGGAGATGCGGTGCGATCTTCCGACCCCATCTGCTCGGACCCCCTCTGGGAGGCCAGGAATGCTTCTGACTTTGCCGATCCTCCTCCCCAGGCCCCGACGGCAGTCATGTTTTTTGATGACGTCGACCCCCGGAGGTCTCGGCCCCTTCCACAGCACCTGTTTTTCATCCCGACTCGTTTTCGGCGGTGTCAAGACCCCGCAGGGGCTCCTAGAAGTCGAAAATTGCGAACACCCTCCCGCCATGATCTTTTAACGGCTCGAAGAGATCTGGGTTGGGAGGCCTGGAATGTTCCTGACCTCGCCAGTTCTCCTCCCTCGCCGCGATGCCCCGCCCTGAAAGTCGGAGCTCTCGCCAATGTTCAAGGCACTTGGGCCGGGAGGAGGAGTGAAAGAGGACGTGGATTAGGTCGGGCATGTCCTCCAACAGGCGGATGTTGGAGGACCGATGAAAAATAGTTTTAACCATGCTCAAACATGATGAACCATGTGGAAAATCGTCCCCAGATATTACAACGCATCCAATTCATCCTCCTGTAGAGAGACATGCCCGCCATAAGACGTGGAGCGGCGCGGCGTGAGGCCAGAGGCGAGAAAGGTCGCGCGCGTGGCAGGCAGTCCCCGGCGGGACGCAGGGCCGAGCGACCGAACAACCGACCCTCCTCGTCCTCCGTGCCCTCCTCCTCCTCCTCCACCTCCTCCTCCTCGCCCTCCTCCTCCTCCTCCTCCTCCTCCTCGCCCTCCTCGCCTTCCTCCTCCTCCTCCTCGCCCTCCTCCTCCTCCTCCTCCTCCTCCTCCTCCTCCTCGCACATACCCAGAGGCACCACGAGAGTTCACGGTGACTTGCTCATCTACCTGTTGCAATAGCTGCGCTCTGGCAGCACGGACTAAATCTGCCATCGGCCAACCCTGGCCATCTCCTCCTCCTCGCCCTCCTCCTCCTCCTCCTCGCCCTCCTCCTCTCCTCCTCCTCTCCTCTCTCTCTCTCTCTCTCCTCTCTCTCCTCTCTCTCTCTCTCTCTCTCTCTCCTCCTCCTCCCCTCCTCCTCCTCCTCCTCCTTCTCCTCCTCCTCTTCCTCCTCCTCCTCTCTCTCCTCCCCCTCCTCCTTCTCCTCCTCCTCCTCTCCTCCTCCCCTCCTCCTTCTCCTCCATCTCCTCCTCCTCCTCCTCCTCCTCCTCCTCCTCCTTGAGCGACCTTTAGCGGAGAGAACACGACTAGCGCCTATACAAGAGAGAGAAAGAGAGATGCAACAACAAGCCCGTTAAAGAAGAGGGGACAGAGAAGACAAATTGGTTCCTGTGCTGCACGCGGCGGCTGCTTCAGGGTTTGCCAACGGCGGCTGAACAACAAGTAGCTTCGAAACGGGGAAACTCTTACCAAACTGATTCCGGCTCGACGGGCCGATGCCTTGTTTCAACATTCCCCTCCTCCTCCTCCTCCTCCTCCTCCTCCTCCTGCTCCTAGCCTCCCCCCCCGCACCTGTCGGGGACCTGCCAGGTCTCCCTCGCCAGGACCCGGGTGCCCTCTGCAGGCGGCAGCCCTGGGCGCGGCGAGGGGCCGCCGCCGCCGGGCCGCCGCCGCCGCAGCCCGCCGCCGTCGCCGCCGCTGCCGCGCAGGCCGCCGCCGTCGGAGCTCGCCGTCGCAGCCCGCCGCCGCCGTCGCAGCCCGCCGCCGTCCTCGCCGCCCTCGTCGCCGCCGCCGTTCGGAGCAGGAGCGGCGGGGTCGCGCCGTCTTGCCGGCCTGTGGGGCCCTCGCCGGGCCTCGGGGCCGTCCAGGAGCGGCCCAAGACGACAAACTGGCCCTACAGTCGACCCGCATCGTAAGGATGCACGACAAGGATGCAGGGGCCTTGGGGCGCCCACTTCGCAGCTTTTCGAGCGGGGCGCGGCCAACGAACGTGGCCAAGGATGCACCGAGGAGGCAAGGATGCACAGGCGCCCTTGAGAAGATTGCCCATCCTTACCTTGCGGGTTGACTGTGTTGGGAAATGGTCCAGACCGCTGGGGCCCACGCATCGATAACATTGGGGCGGCCGGACATCTGGGGTTCCGGCTGCACGCACGGGTGACCATGAGCAAGAGTGGCCTCCTTTCGTGCCGGGTTGCGCTGGGGGCACAATCCCGGGGCGCGCAAGCCAATGCTATCGCATCACACTTAGAGATCTGGGTATCCCACTGTGCCCGCACACCACAGGCCACTCCTGCGACAGGGCACCCTGACCAATCGATCGGAAGAGCTGGGGCTGCCGCCCGCCCCTCCACGGGGCAGCAACAGGGACAGCCACTCGATGCTCGAAGCAGGCACGAGCCCCAAAGCAGATCGGCATCCAGGAATCCAGAAAAGCACAGCCGATCCTGGCCCTTCTCAGGCCACGGTGGGCCTGTGGGCGAGGGCGGGTCTTGGGGGGACCGCTCGCCCCCTCCCGCGCCCATCCCCTGCTGCTTTCCTCCCCCCCGTCCGCCCCGCTTGCCCGTTCCTGCTCCTCCTTCTTGTCCTCCCCGCCCTCCTGCTCCGACCTCCTCGCGCCGTGAGCAACTTGGTGGCCAGAAGCCCTTGGCAATTTTCTGCCCCTGGGGGGCCCTCCTCGGGCTCCAAAGCCGCCAGGAACGACCCGGGGTGCAAGTCCGTTCCTGGGGAGGGCGTCGAAACCGTCGGGGATCTACTGCGGCCGCGCTAGCGCGCGCAGGCTTGTGCGCATAGCGGTCAGCTGGTCTGGCCTGACCGACGCGGCCGCGGTGGCGCTGACCGCTGGGGGCTTCCCTGCGCGATTCGCACGCGGCGCTGACGCGCGGGGACTTCAGTGCGACTCGGCGGTTCGGGCGGGCGCGGTGCAATGGCGGCGCCGACGATGATATTAGCGACGCTGGTGGCGATGATGAAGGTGACGACAGCAAGGCCAATGACGACGCCGATTCGGATCACGCCCACGACGATAATGGTGTCCACACGTCGGCATGATGGTTTTTGGATGGATTTCGACATGCGCGCGCGGGCCGACGTGCGCGAGCGGCCCGCGTGGCGCGAGCGTCCGAATTCGCAAAAACGCGCGAACTTGATGGATCAACCGTGCTGCGAAACAATGTATTTCCATGTTGTTGGTAATCTCGATCGTGAACCAATTACGACACCCACGGTTTGTGAAGCATTCTGGCCTGCGCGCCCGACATAACGAGCGTGTGTACTTCGCCATGCTGTTTACAATGTATTATGGAACACGGGCGATTCTTGGGTAAATGGGGGGGCGCGCATCGTTTTTTGACAAAGAAGATAGGACGTCAAACTTAAAAAGGGCACAGTGGGGCAGAATCGCACGTAGACCGTACTATCCCAAAGGGGGCCACTAAGTGAGGACCCCAATCTATACTAGAGAGGAAAACAAGTGTGGCGCGCAAGCTGTGTTGCGCAATGTATGTGGAGCCTTCGAATCTATCTGGCGCAGCTCACCCTGCCGAACTTGAACTTGTCAGCTCCGCTGCTCGCGCAGTCCCCCCACCCGCCCGCCCGCAACGTGGTCTGCATAATCCAAGCGGCGGCGATTGCGAACACTGCTGGGCGATGGCTGGCGCATCGCTGCGGCCGCGCTAGCGAGCAAGCTCGCGCGCGAACCGGTCAGCTTGTCTGGCGCGACCGATGCGGCTGCGCTGGCACTGGCCGCTGGGGGCTTCCCAGCGCGTCCCGCTGGCCGCGCTGACGCGTGGGCGGTCCAATGCGAATCGGTGGCGCGGGCGGGCGCGGTATCATGGCGGCGTCGACAACGGCAGACACAATGATGATAGTAGCGATACTGGTGGCGATGGTGACAATGGCGACGGCAAGGGCACTCGCGAAACCGATGCTGATCGCGCACCGACGACGTTGATGATGCCCACGCGTCGGCGATGAAAACTCTGGAATGATTTCGACGCGCGCGCGGCCTGAGCGCGCGAGTGGCCCGCGTGGAATTATTTGACAAGGGTCGTGCCCCCGCCCCGCGGCACGCGCGCAAGGGCGTTCGAATGGCCTCGACATGCGCGCGCGAGAGGTGCGTTTGGTAGCATTTGCTGAACATGTGCGAGCAACCGGGTATTTTAGACAATCAGCAAACAGGCGCAAACAACTGTCTCGAAAACTGGCTTGGCAAAGCCATGTGTTTTTTATGTGTTGTCGGAGCAATAGATTTTTAAATTCTTGCGATACCAAGGGTTCTTAAAGGATGTCGGCATGTGCGCGCGACGACGCGCGCGCGTGCACTCCGTCCCATTCATTGCGAAGGGATTCTCGTGGCAGCGCGCGAGCAAGGGCGTTCGAATGGCTTCGACATCGCGAAGGGCGCGTTTCGTAGCATCTGGTGAATTGAAGAACTGCTGGTTTTCTGTACACATCGCAAGAGCACGAACGCTGGCTTTCATGTGCATTTTTGTTGCGACGCGATTTCCTGTTCTTGGGTCGCGCGATTTTGAATCCCGACGAAACGAAATGTCGACTTGACAGACTAGAGCATGCGCGCGCGACAACGCGCGCGTGTCCTGGTCGTCATTTTTTTTTCTCCCCCCTACCTAGGCTCTGCCTAGAAGGGTTCTTACTCTCTTAGCTTAAAAGGGCGGGCAGTGTAAATCGCCCCGGGCGGTTCCCCCAGTCCCCGCCCCGCGGTTACGGCCTCTTAGCTTAGCGTTGCTTAACTCATCTTAGCTTAGCTTAGCTTAGCTTAGCTTAGCTTCATCTTAGCTCCGCTTAACTGTAGCTTAGCTTTAGCTTAGCTTAGCTTTAGCTTTAGTTTAGCTCATCTCAGTTTAGCTTAGCTTTAGCTTAGCTTTAGCTTAGCTTTAGCTTAGCTTTAGCTTTAGCTTAGATTTAGCTTGGATTTAGCTTACATGCAGCTTACCTTTAGCTTAGCTTTAGCGTAGCTTTAGCTTGGCGTTAGCTTAACTTTAGCTCAGCTTTAGCTTATCTTTAGCTTAACCTTAGCTTAGCTTAGTTTAGCTTAGCTTTAGCTTAGCTTTAGCTGAGCTTTGGCTTAGCTGTAGCTTACCTGCAGCTTAGCTTTAGCTTAGCTTTAGCGTAGCTTCAGTCTAGCTTTAGCTTAGCTTTAGCTTAGCTTTAGCTTAGCTTTAGCTTAGCTTTAGCTTAGCTTTGACTTAGCTTTGGCTTAGCTTTAGCGTAGCTGTAGCTTAGCTCTAGCTTAGCTTTATCTTAACTGCAGCTTAGCTTTAGCTTAGCTTTGACTCAGCTTTAGCTCATCTTTAGCTTTAGCTTAGGTTTAGCTTAGCTTTAGCTTAGCTTTAGCGTAGCTTTAGCTTACGCTTTAGCTTAGCTTTAGCTTAACTTAACTGTAGCTTAGCTTTAGCGTAGCTGTAGCTTAACTTTAGCATAGCTTTAGCTTAGCATTCGCTTAGCTTCAGCTTAGCTTTAGCTTAGCTTTGACTTAGCTTTAGCTTAGCTCTAGCGTAGGTTTACTGATACTACTAATGCTGCTTTCCTGGGGGCTCCAACTCCTAGGTCGGGTCGCACTGGGATAATTTCTCTCTCTCTCTCTCTCTCTCTCTCTCTCTCTCTCTCTCTCTCTCTCTCTATCTCTCTTTTTCTTCCTTCTCCAACAGATTTTTGAAAACAGATGATTCTTGATGAACGAGTGAGGGCGCATCGTATTTTCTGCGAAGGATGGGGGAAGGGGGATCGACGCGGCACTACCTGGAAAGGTGTGAATATATATATTTATATATATATATACATATGTATATATGTATATATTTGTCGGATTGGGCGAGTGCGCAGAGTCATGGGCAACAACAATGCGAAAACACATGCGTCAAGTCTGGGAGAATAGGCGGTGCAATCCATGAGGCGCAGAGCACCCTGCCGAACGTGAAGTTGCCAACTCCGCTGCTCGCGCATTCATCCCACCCGCCCACCCGCAATTTAGTTTGCAAAACCACGCGGCAACGATTGCGACGTCTGCTCGGAGCTGGCTTGCGCATAGCCGCGGCCGCGCTAGCGCGCGAGGCGGCCAACTGGCATGGCGCGACCGACGCGGCCGCGATGGCGCTGACCGCGGGGCAATCCCCAGCGGGCACATCAGTGCGAGTCGGCGACCTGGCCAGGCGCGGTGTCGTGGCAACGTCGACGGCGGTAGACGCGATGAGAATAATAACTGCGCTTGTGACGATGATGGCAACGATTGCGGCGCGGCCAGTGACGGCGCCGATGCTGATCGCGCCGGCGACGATGACGTCGCCCTCGCGTCGGCGGCAAAAAGGTTTTGGAAGGAGTTCGACGTGCGCGCGCGGCCGACGCGCGAGAATGGCCCGCGCGGTGTTATTGGGCGCAGATCGCGCCCCCGCCCCCCCCCCTAGCGCGCGCGCGGGCGCTCGAATGTTTTCGACGTGCAGCGCGAGAGGCCCGTTGGGCATAACTTACTGGGGCTGTTGAGGAACCCGCGGGAATCTCAATGGAGAATTCGCAGGGTCGCGAGCGCAAGTTTTTGTTTCTCTATATATTTATTTACACATGTAAAACTCGGATGCAGCAAAACCGCGTGCTCCTTTTGGTTTTCGGGGCAATTGA